ATAATTCCCTCGTTTTAATATGCATCACATGTGACAAACAAGGTCACATAAATTGACTTTTAAATAGAAATAATTTGAGGTATTAGAAAAATTCGGACGTGTTTATAACCACTTCTGAATGCATTCTGGTTATTGACTTTCCTGTGGGGCTCACATCCGGGGTTTTGTTTTTGCGTCACCGCACATGAAGTCGCCACGATAAAGATTCTGTTTTAAAAGAAAAACATAACAGGGTCTCTTTGATTGATAGTTACGTGGTCAGTGAAGTTCTTATCCAAGCTTCGACACACAAATGAAATGATAACCACCCGTGTATTAAAAACGACTGTGTGATACAATTGGTGTTTATTCCGCCTGTGATGTCGTTACGGGGTCAGGATAGATCACGGGATCCCAGGGAGTTGTACGTTCTTCAGTAGCTCGGATTACTGAAATCCGGGGTGGAATTTATTATCCCCTGCTTCCAATTTAAGAATTTATTGAAGAAAAAATAGTTTGCCACGAGGAGGGACGGGTAAAAAAAATCGAAATTATCTTATCTGACTGGGGGACTATTTGGAAAGAATTTCAGCAAGTTCATAACCTGGAACTTGTGACGTCAAACCGAATTAGCAGGCACTGTATTGCAGCAATTTTCAGTGGTGAAATTTACTTCCCTCTTTGTATTGTATGCAACACATAAAACCGATTATTGTGATCCCCATAAAAATGATAAAACCAGTTAGTTTGGCAACAAATCCTTAGAGTACGGAATCAATCCTTAACCTTTCAGAAACAATGCCAACGTAATGTCTATTTTTATTGTTACTTCTAAATTCAATTTCATGATTGGATACGATTTCTCATGAACTGTACGACATCCAAAGTCATTACAATGCGTACAGAGGTCAGTGAGAGGTTTTATATATATATCACACAAAGCATATGAATGCCAATATAAGCTGTCAGCGTCGGATTGAATTGCGGGATACTTGTGTTGACACATGTTTTAACTTTCGCGTAGCGCTCACTGTTCCCCCACCTTCCGCGTTTTTTCATTTTTCTCTTTCACTTTTACTTTTTCTCTAATAATTCACGGGACAAACTGATGGTTGAACGCATATACGGGTCAAATGCGATCCACGGCGCCATTGTGATGATTCCTTTGTTAGAGTTGGATAGAATGAAAACAATTATTGGCTCGGCAATGTAACACAGATATAGGTTTCTAATGTTTCTCTACCGGTATGGTAACAACAAGTAGAACGTCACTGCGAGAGGTCAAATAACGGACATTGGTTGAGGTCTGACAGAAGTCGTTGTTCAAGGTACTGTGCGAACAGCACATGGTCCCAGACAGCGTGATTAAGTTAAAAATATATTTCTGCCCACTTCCATATTAAAGCGCATTTTAACGCAACGTATATGTATAGTTAATGTGCTTTTCTGTAGTGATTTCACTTTTAAACTTCGACACATTCGTTCCCACCAGCGGAAATTATCATTTCATTTGTTAGTGTATTGATTAGTGTATTAGTAAACACCAATACACATTTTTAAGCAGTCATCCTTTAGTTCCTATGGTAACAAGACTTATTCATACCTCCACGTTTTCTTCAAGACCATATAGTGAAAATATATATAAGAATGTCACTTGTGTCTGTTTTAAATTATTATAAAGTTATTTTTATTTTTACTGAAATGATGCTTTAATTTCATTAGAAGGACTGTGCTTTAATAACCTCGTATGAAAATTGTTTCAACAGTATTCTCCGCAAATAAATTTCGTATTTATCAAGACAATTTTAAAACCGATTATGGTTGACCGCCATTATCTGTTAATAAACTGAATGCCGTTAAAGTGTCGTCACGTGACCTACCATGAAACATCAATTAGCTCAACCAGAATATTGTCTCATGTGACAGTCGTCCATAATCCGTGGTGTCTCGACATGGTTGTGACGTCATCGGACGACTCTCCAGACGGAAATGAAATCAGAAAAAAGTGTTTCCTTCAATCGTTAAATTATGGTTTCAGGACTGTTTTTTGACAGATGACATTTCTCGACAGGCTGTTGTCAGCCTTAAACCAATCTGTCGGACTATGCTACTCCCAGCGTTAAGCTTAAGACGTCGATCCCAACGCTATCGACGTGCTCTCCATACAAACACATATAGGGAATGACGTCATCTAACTTATATAACGTATACATGATTAATGTATAAATTGCCAAATAGTTATGCATATCTGGCCCTTTGGTGCTTGGATATTTCTTTTTATTGGGTGAATATATTTGCATAACTTACCAAAGTGTCGATATAATTTTAAAAAATTCTTATTTAATAAATACAATATTGAACATTGCGTTTATAAAACCGTCCCGAAAATACGAATGTTCCGATGCGCGTTACATGGGAATGGTAGAAGCATTTTCATTTAATCTAAGTAGATGTTATTCTAAAATTTAAATACAGGCTTTAAATACATCAAATATTTTACTGTCTCTAACGAAAGTATCCTTGGCCTACTGTGCACTTAAAATTGATTGGAAATCAGGTCACGTGCTGAAGGTCGGATTAAGCCTGAAAGTAGAAATCTGACGGTTTAATCTCTGCTCCCGTGTTATTGTATTTATTACGAACAAATCTGTCACGATCTCTTAAATCACATCCGCTTAAAATAAACCAAGTCTAATTTCCTGCATTTTTAGAGCTTTCAAGGTGGGATCTAATATAAAGGCATCGACTGTCAATTATTTCATTCGGGGGTATCATTCATGGCGAGTTCGGTTTCCCATCCTTAGAAACTATGCCGACATTGTAATTTGTTGAAGCTGTGTGGACTGCGATTAATACGGACAGTCCCCTTCTCCGGGCCAGCTCAAACAGACTTTAGACAATTTTACCGGAGGGGGTTAATGTCGTATCACCTATTTCGCTCTTTTTAAGTAACTACCCGTCCCAATCATCAAATCATCTGATCAAATTGATTTTTTTACACGCCGCGACAGACATTGTATATTTTGTTTCAACTATGCGATGATGTTTACGTTGCATTCACGGCTGATTACTCGGTGTTTATTTGGCTGTGGCGCACATTTGGCATTGAAATTGGATCTAGCCCACTCGTATGTAGTTGACATTCTGACATATAGTGTGTTCTTGCCTTTCTGTTTGGCGATGTAAACAATTTCTTCCAGTCTATCACATGACAATACTACTGTAAAGCACTATGTTTTCACTTGGAATTTGAATTTGAAAACTTTCCATTAATTAAAAATGTTAGAAAAATGCCACGGCTTTCCACTATAGATAATTGACATCACAATAAGAAAAAATGCAGAAACGTTGCTTTATATCTTTTCCATGTGTGTGATGAAACAAAACAAAAAATATTTTTGCTGATGGAATGAATCAGTGGAAATACAATCCAGTGAAAATATAGTTTACACTCAACTCCAAAATAAAAAATAAAATTCATACAAAACAGCCTATGTTTTGATGATGTCCTTTCAGCGAAAATTAATAGTAGTTCCAGTTAAAATAAAGTATTTTACAGTAGTTAAAACTTAGTCGCACGTGGCCGCTGAGACGTCAGGGAAGGGAAGTAGAACAAAGAATGAGAATGGATGGACCAATCAGAACGCCGAAACCATTACTAGTGAACGGTCTCTCGTGGCTTGGTGCGTCATGACACTTGAGGCGGGAAACAGCGCCTAAAGTGTATTCCAGGAGGGTGGCACGAGAGAGCGCTGTCCGGTAAGGATTGAGCTTTTCGAAGACAGTCTTCCGTAAGCGCCCTTTTTACTGATAGATAAAATCATTTCAGTGATTTATTTACAAACTAATGCTCAGCGAAACTTCAAAACATCACACAGAAATATACATGCCCTAAAGTTGTGTTTATTGCAAAATAATCAAGTTTGAAGACACAAGTTTCTTCAAGTTGCTGGAGTGTGTTATACGCGTGATTTTATTTTGTTCAAAGTTGATCTATTTCAAACTGCGCATGCATTCACACTAATTCGTTATTTTGTCACTGGTAAAATTTATTGGAACTTGAAACATTATGCGCAATTTTGAGCAATATTACTAGAGTAAAAAGTCAGCATGTCTCTGCATTCTCCATGAATTGCTTAAGGTGATATAATCAAATTTTTGCACAGTTTTACCGACATATTCTTGATGTACATTTACCTTGATTGGACCTCTAATCGTGACGTAAGAGAAACTCTCTACTAATTCACAGACATATTCTATATCTGGAGATGATGAATCCAAAACTTGGCTATTATTAAACTTATCTTTATCAGTGATAAGATCATATGTATGCACTTATTATATGAGTAGCGTTCACGCACAGCTCCTTAGCACGGGCTAAAAGGTCAAATACCTTAGCCTGTGCTAAGAAAACGTACGTGAACGCTTAGCACGGGCTAAGAAATACTAAGTACGGATTAAATCTGGTCCGGTCTAAATTCTTAGCTCAGGCTAAGCGTCCAAAACGCCATTGTATTCAATGTTCATTTGGAACATTTACTAATATATTCCTCACTATTCATGTCGGTATGCCATTTCTAACATGACAATCAACGCGAGTACATCTAGAGAATATTGTTCTTGAGAAAAAAAAAATAACTGACGATGGCTAGTTCTCGTCATTCTATAATATACTTTCTGAATTTGGTTTGGCATTGTTTAATAACCGTAGAACTCACATTCATACCTTCCTAGTTACTTTACTGAGTAATTCTAGTTACAATTTTAGTGTATTCTTACCAAATATGTGCGTTCCCTAGCCCGTGCTAACTTTGTGTAGCATGAATTGGTGTATGTTAAAGCGGGGGAGTCGTCACCTGCGCATGCGTAAGATGGCCATAGCGTGTCATTGTTTATAAACAAGCGTCTACCCATGAGCCTTTTGCGTTTTTAGCGTGTGTTGTTATCATCGGTTAGGACTCAATTCCCGCGCGTGCGCAGGTGACGATCCTTCTGCTTTAATTATGTTTTGTCTGTTTCAGTATGTTCTTCAGCGCGAGCTGCCGAGATTTTATTCAACGATATATTGCTGCATTCCAGCTACCACAACAAAATCCGACCAGTGGCCAACGCCTCTGATATGTTAACAGTTTATCTTGGGCTGTCTATTTCACAACTCATTGAAATAGTAAGTATATTGTGCGTTATGTAACAAAGTTGTTGATTGGGTAGAAGACACTGATTTTGTTAACGGGTATGTAATGGGGGCCATTGATTGGATACGAAACTTGATAATGTACCATGATGTAATATTGTCAGTGTGTCTCGTATACTGCCATCAACGGTGTGATACTGTCACGTAGGCCAACTCGAAACCCTCACCAGGATGATCTGGTAAGTGCATTCATTACCATCATGTATGGAAATCAGTTTACCGGTATATTGAAAAAATAAAAATTGTATGAGTGAAAAAAAAATTACCGAAAAATTTCAATTTCAATATTTTTCAAGTGAAAATGTTGTTCACAGCTCACAAAGATTTCTTATCTCATACGGTGAGCTGATGTTTGCTCTCCAAAATTTAGCTCACCGGGCCACTAATTCGATTCCGTTCGTTCTCAAATATGCCAATATTATATTTTTATTTCGCATAGCCCAACAGCTAACTGCTGGACAGTCTGTTCCCATGGTTATGATGCATCCCCAAAATTATAAAACAAAGTACTAGTAATGCCGCACTACTTATTAGATTGTGTAGTGTGTGTAATTACTGTCTGTCGATATTTACTGCTTTCGTTGATTACAAAAATGGCTAGAACATCTGTGAATGCATTAATGAAGTAATCACACATCTACAGACGGCGGTTTAATTATCCTAATGGCTGCAGGATTAGGGGTCACTTACTCTCAGGAGGGGGACACGCACTTTCAAGTTGTTGCACACGCACACCGCGGCCCGCAGATGTCGTGAAAAGTCGTGCGTGTGTTGACCTGTCAATCTTATACCGCACACCAAATACTCTTTTGATTTTGTTTTCAACCCCAGAAATCAATTGACACTACCCTGAGTGATATGAGACGCCAGCCGTGTTATATCCAAGCGGCGAGTTGGGCCCCAATATATGTATCGCTGTGATTATGACTTTCTTCACGTGATTTAATATTTGTCGTGTTAATGAATATTTTCTCGACATATAGCAGTCTACTGTTTCTCAGAATACGGTATACCGTTATTTTTTACCCAATGGGCAGTAAACTTTGAAATCGGTTCGTATCAATCAACGTTACAAATTATGCAAAAAATGCATAGCTATGACCACGGGCGATTGATTTTACCACATTGTATTTAATCACGAATAATGGCAATATAATATTAGAAAAGGAGGAGCAGGTGATGCAAAAATATACTAACCTAATAAAGAAAACTACGATTTTATTCGACAGTAATTATATTCACAGCATTCCTGCATCAAGCGCTCGTGACTTTAGACTCCAATCAGAGGGGTGTTATTTAGAATCGCGTCGGTTCATGTTGTTGTCATGATGGCCTCTTCATTCCTCCGTGCTTCTATCTCCCAGGGGTGAGATTGGGTACCTGGTAGGGTAGCGATTGATATGCATGTGCATAGCTCAGATACGCCTTGAGCTCCACATGATGAATACTCCCCAGGGAGTTGACTCATCAAGGCTCAACGACCTGAAGATAATAATCTTAAGTGCTGACGCATTATAATAATTATTAAAACGATCTCATTATGATTTTATCACAAAATCAATATAGCATATATAGGTCAAACGCTAATTTATCCCAATTGCTGAATTTTACAAACGTTTTTTTTTTTTTTACGAATGAAAAAAATAAGTACGGTTACAGCGACACGGGTTACAGAGCGGTGGTCGTCGCGCAGCGCGTGTTTGAATTTTATGTGAACAAACAAAGTATTTTACACGCGTCGTGTACTTCGATGTGAGACCCATATGCGAACAGGACGCGACTCGACGACCACCGACCTTTAACATCGCCATTGCGGTCGTGACCATATTATTTGCCGAGAATGGCCCACGAGAACAAGGAGTTAGGTCACGTACATTGTTTTAATGTTTGTTATTCCCTCTTCAGGACGAAACTGAGCAGGTTATGGTAAGCAGCGTTTGGCTCAAACAGGTGAGTGCGTCACTACCATATATGGTAATCATTTACATAACATCTGCATAATAATCATTACATCACGCATCAACCACGTGAAGACATCGTGGTTCATCTGCTCATCCAGCGAACCAGTAAACATCACGAATTGCTAATTTGAAATAAACTCAATAAACACGTGGCAGGAAGCGTTGTATGACTGTGTGTTGTATTTTTGTTTTTGCAAATTGATGGCCTGAATAGTTGCGATTTAAATTACAAATTGCATTTTTCTTTTTTCTAAATGTAATTACAAGGTTGAACTGAGATCTTTGAATTCTATTTGAGGTAGTTAGTTTCCCGCCCAGACGACAATTATACTTCGTGATATAGTAGGGCGGGATAGATTATCGGGTTTGACCCCATCCTTTACTGGGTCAAATTACAGATGGACAGATATTTAGCGGTTCCTTTGCTTGCAATGGGTGATCACAATTCGGTATTCGGTGGAATAACGGCAGCAACGATGCTTTTGACTCGTTTATAGACTACATTATTTTTACTTATAAAAATATAACAAATTGTGGAAAATATAAAAATGTTTGTTTTTATGTCACTTCGGTATGATTTCTTCAATATTACAATTGTGACCAGAAGGCAAGATAGTCTCGACATGCCATATGAAAGTCCGGTGTCCGGCATCTACGCCCCCCCCCTCCCCCAATAATGAAATCTGGAAAAATGTGTTGTTTGAAACTACGTCTATATCAGTTAACTTTTGCCAATTTACGTATATCGACTTAAAGTTACGCCAGTCGTAGGTCTGCGTCTTCAGTGAGGTCGTTTGAAAACTAGTTATGTACGTTTTCAAAATGACGCCAAGATATGAGAGTTAGGCTGGAACAGCTGTCCATCCCCATTTCCGCTCTCACTAAATAAAGCCATCAATAACCATGTCGTTAAAACAAAATGCGATGTTGATATCATTTGAGATGGTGTGAAAGATCTTAGCCTAGCAGCTGCTTGCTGAGAAATGTCGGAATGCAGCCATGGAGATTATAAAATTACATTGTCGCTTTACCATCCTTTTAGCTGCAAAAATGATGTTTACAGCATCGATGGAATATTTCCAGTATGTCATTGACTGGGAAACGTCATAAAGTAACACTTTGATTCATAGCCCCATTATTACTGGATCGTTAAATTATCATCACCAGTAGTATGCCCTCAGCGACAGTAAAATGATTTTGTAATGAAGTGCGTGCGGACTAAACCAGGCTATGCTGTCGCTTTTAGCTCCGCTGTCAATAGTCGAGCGGAGCCGATCATATCATATCACTGATTTCCGTTGTCGCCCGTCGTCGTCAACTGTACATTTCGACATTTTCAAAAACATCAGCTGTCTGTGTTTCATAATCACTGCAAATGTACCTTGGGTGGTTCTCTATTAGATTTGTTCATTTTCGGACGTTATATATATATTTTTTAATTGTTGGTGAAATATTTTCGACTTCATTTTGAAAATGACTATTCCAAATGCTTTGATATTTTATATGTAGACGCTCTGTAAGATTCGATCATTTAGTGAAGATACCTTTAATTATCTAAATTTAGTCAATATTTTCAGTAAAAAAAGCTTGTTTTGTGTTAAGAGCTTTTGCCGTTTATTCATAGCTCCACCTGGTGATCCAGTTTAGCGTCCACAACCCTGTATCAGAAACAACTCGAGCAGTTCTTACAATGTGTATCATAACCGACCATCATAACCACACAACTTTCCACGAAATAGCGCCGCCTAGCGACAAAACACTACTGTATGTCGTTCACAATTGCTTGCCTGTTCGTACATGTATTTCTTCATTTAGAATGTATCTCGGAAACAGGTGTTTAAATGACGGCCGAATTTGGACTTTTTTGAGATTTTTTTGGTATTTTTTTCTCATTGTTTTTCCAAATATGTGTTTGTTTATTTTTCATACACTTTGTTTTTACTTGAATTTATCTGTTGGTAGTTTTGAGAATCGCGAAACCCACAATACAAAATAAGTTGTACGTGATAATTATACAAAATAATTAACAAATAAAATAAAACATATAAACTAACAAAAAGCATATGCCGTACAAAAAAATCAGATTTTAATCTGTTTTCCCTGTGAAAGGCCTTCTTCATGTTCGAAGATCGCTAGAGGGCGCAATATATTGGATAAGTGTATGACGTTAATTTCTGTTTTCACTACTAGAGATGGAACGACTACAGACTGAGATGGGACCCAGCACGTTACGATAACATCAAGTCGTTGAATATTCCTATTCCGATTCTGTGGAGGCCCGATATTACACTATATAACACGTAAGTCACAAAATAAGTTTCCAACTACGGACGGATTGGCGGACTGACCCACAAATAGCCAGTAGCGTGACGGGGATATGAAAAACGAATAGCTGTGACACCGCTTAAGAAAACATGATCAGCCAATCAACGAGCACAATGCACAATGACGTCGTTTGAAAACGTTCCATTATTATTCAATTGGCCAATAGAAACCTCTCGTTTCAATTTGAATTGTGAGATATTTCAATATTTATAAAGATGAAGGGAATGCCTTTGTTGCGCCGACAGTACAGTACCCAACATACTCGTAGTCAAATCCATAAGAGAAAGATTTATTCACGATATAGTATACAGGAAGTAATGGCATGTGTTTCTAAGCACATTCTACTCCACGTGTTGAACCAGCTAGGTGTCTTTCCGAGTCACAGTCGCATTGTTTGAGGGCTACATCAGACAAATGACATTGATACCATCAGAGATAATATATGTAACAATGTTAGCTCATTATAACTGCAACTTTTGAATGTTAAAGCGGAGGGGTCGTCACCTGCGCACGCGTGGGAATTGAGTCCCAACCGAAGATAACAACACGTGCTTGAAACGCAAAGGCTCGTGGGTGGACGCTTATTTGTAAACAATGACACGCTATGGCCATCTGCCGCATGCGCGGGTGACGATACCCCCGCTTTAAGCGTGCTTAAAATAGCAGAATTCCAACACTTATTATCTATATTATTATTTGTTTAGAGCTGATGGGGAGTACGATGTATTGGTCCCCAATAAAGCATTGGTAACCTACGATGGCACAGTGAAATGGAGTCCACCTGCTGTGTACAAAAGTGTATGCAAGATATGGAGCAAAGACTTTCCTTTCGACGAGCAAAAGTGCGTCATGAAATTTGGATCGTGGACTTATAACCACGATTTTCTGGATCTGCGGCCCATGGATAACCAGGTGGACCAGGCAGACTATTGGGCTAACGGCGAATGGTACATCGTGGAAACGCCTGTAGAGCGGAATGTCATTCGTTATGCTTGCTGCACAGATCAGTACGTCGATATTACGTTTGCGTTCATTCTTCACCGAAATCCTTTGTTTTATGTCGTCACGCTCGTCGTACCGTGTCTTTTGATAGCCTTTTCCACACTACTCGTGTTTTATCTTCCAACTGACGCACAGGAACGCATCACGCTCAGTATTTCCATCCTTATTGCTGTCATCGTGTTTCTTTTGTTGATTCCGTCTCTGCTGCCACCAACGTCCGATCAGGTGCCCTTGGTTGGACGATTTATCCTGTTCACTCTCTGTATGAGCATTGCCTCTTTACTGGGGACTATTTTAGTCATCCACGTCCACTATCGCACAGCCGATACACACGTGATGCCTCGCTGGATGCGCGTGGTTTTTATTATCTACATGCCTCGCATTTTGAGAGTGGAACGACCGACAAGCAAAGAGGATTACGAAAACTACACCAAAGAAAGACGACAAGAGAAACTCAAGCAAGGCTATATGAACAACAGTCAGATTTGGACAAATTATTCAAACGGGCGGATTTATCATTCAAGGAAATCGTTGGGTAAACAGGCTGCTAGGTTTATTGTTGAGGCTGTCAGTCCGTCATTACTAGAAGAGATCGAATGGCGGGAAGGCGGGTGTGGCGACGACCACCCAGAAACCTTACAACAGGCTCAAAGCCAGATACCGTTGCCGAGCCACTACATCCGGGCAATTGATTGTATACATTATATTGTAAGTCATTTAAAGAAGGCAGACGAGGAGGAACAGGTGAGCGAACGAAGATTTATCTTTTTTTTTTTAATTTCTAAATTAAATTTCAATATGGTAATTTTGGCAACATATCACGAGAGTTTTCAGGTTTCTGACAGTACATTTAATAATTAGTATCATAATTTTCGGGATTTCCGCTTCATTTTAAAGTTAGCGATAAAAGGTTTACCGCCATGGGTTTCAGACAGCTGAAATAATTAGGACACTCAATTTTAAAGGGACGTGAGCTTGGCTTTTGTCAATAATATTCTTTTTCGCAATTTATTTCAACGTGACAGCTGAAAATGGTCGATTATTTTCCGGCTATTTACATGCCATTATTACAAATATATGTGCCAGATGACATGTGTTTACCCATTTAGTGCTACAAAGGTAATTTTTACTCAGTGTTACATAGAATATATTGATGATACTTTGTCTAAATACCCTGTATTTGAACCCTAGAAATACCAGTATGATATTTTACTGTTTAATAATGCCCGTTCTCTAGGCGTATTTTGAACGGCACAGCGCTGAAAGTTTGACAACAAAAGGCTACCCTGTGATTCTTATTCCTAACCACCAGTGATTCATGTCCCAAATGGGAAAGTAGAAATAACACCATACTTAAATTAACATTCGTCAAATGAAATTCGTAAGAAAACAAAACGTATGATTGGCAAATATTCGACAAATATATTGCAATGCACCGAAACAATACACAAGAACATGGCAATTAGTACATAATCACAGGGATTGAAATAGAATTTTTTCCCTGCATGCACAGTGTGCATGTTGAATTTGAAATCTACTTGCACTAACTTGTTGTGAAATGCACTACTTTTAAAGTTTAAATAAAATTTACAGGTTATCGATTCATGCGATCATGAAAGAATTTTCTTTTTTTCCAGTTGTCTTACAATGTTGGTTGAACTTAATTTAGGCTTAGTGAAAACGATGAGAAAATGTTAATTTCTAAATGCACAGCGTGCACATTATATTTTGAGTTTACTTGCACTAGCTAATAATCTATGTGCATAGTGCAGTGTGCACCAGAGTATTTCGACCCCTGTAATCTAACTGAACATATATATGGACAGTTTGAATGGATGCACTCTGGATGTATAAGGTAATAGACCATTTTCCGTTCACTGCGAGAATCACGCGTTATGCGTGAAATCGAACGTAAAAACAGGACAAACAAAGGTCATAGCATCGTAGTGGCGTCAAACATCGCGTGAGATTCGACAAACGCGAAAGTATTTTGGGGGACATTTCCATGTCAATAATGTGCTGTACACATTTGATGATAGGCAATTTCGATTAAAAGAAGATAATCGAATGCAATATTCCTCTGTCAAAGATCGGCTGGTCGATGTGAGCTACGAAATAAAGAAATTAGAGTTCAAAATCAAATCGTTCGATTTTTGCACCAGACGTTCGACGCGCGTCTTTCATGCATCTCGCGAGATCTCGCAGTTGTATGGAAAATCACCTATTTATTTTCACTTGGAATTTATTTTTTGTTGAAAGGAATGAATCAGTGAAATACAATCCAATCAAAAGACTTTTTTACTATATTTTACAATCAACTCGTCAAAAATTAGTGAAAATAAACTTCATACAAAACAGTCAAAAATGTCTTTTCAGCGAAAATTAATTCCAGCTGAAATTAAGTAATTTACACTAATTTGAAATTATATGTTAATTTTATTCCAGATATCTGACGACTGGAAATTTGTTGCCCTGGTGATGGATCGTATGTTACTGTGGCTGTTTTTTATCGTTCTTATTATTATGACGACAGCAACGTTCATGGCACCGGTAACATTCTGGGAAAGTGAAAACACGCATCGTATACCAAGAATAGAAAAACCAATAACAATCAGTTCTGCGGGCTTCAGCGATTACATCGCGTAACGATCACGTGACAACAAAATGGACCAATGCGGAGTTCGTTCAGAACGGTATATCTACTGTAACAGACTTATATGCAATAATCCGTGCTACGTGTATGTGTAATATTTAAACATTTTCTTATATATATATATATATATATATATATGCATTACTAACAAAAAATAAATACATTATGTAGTTTAAAAAAGGGGTCGATATGGAGAAGGTTTAATACTTTTATGAAAAGAAAATGAAAAGTATTTTGTAAATTGTCAGCGGTATTTAATTTCACTATTTTTTTTATGGAAACCATTCATCTGTCAATATCTGGACAAGTATTATATCACTATAGCAATCATTTTAAATTAAGAGTACATGAAATTATCGTTTTGATATTTTATGAGTAAAAGAACATGAGGAATTCGGTTCCAGAACAGGTGTTTGAGTAGAATTGAGTTGAATGTGGCTACTCACAAAACTATAAAGTGGTGTGCATGAACACTTTTTTATTAACTCTGCTGTCGACAAAGTTGAGTGGAGATGTTTATAATACTCTTCCGTCGTCCGTAGGCGTCAAATTTCTTCAAAACTTCTTCAAAAAACGTCAGCTGTACGTATTTCACGCTCACTACAAATGTACCTAGGCTGGTTCTCTCTCAGATTTGTTTATTTTGTGACGATACCTTCAATTAATTTTTTTTTTTCATTTTTGGTTTAAAATGTTATCTTTAACTTCTTTTTGAAAACGGCTGATATTTTATATGTATGTGACCTCAGTCAGATTTGTTCATTTTGTTACGATGACCAATTTTAGTGAATTATTTTGTCATTTTTGTTAAAAAAATGTTTGTTTTTTTCGATTTGAAAATGTCTCGCCCAATTACTTTATATGTGGGCACTTCGGGTGACCCTCGCACACATTACGTTACTTATCTAATATCACTGACATGTGAATGTTCCATTGTGAGATTGATTTGATTCATTCTGCTATCAGATTATTTCATTTAGTGTCGATAACTTCATTTTTTCATTTTACTGATTATTCTTGTCAACTCGTTAAAGGGTGGCGGTCGTCGCTCCGCGTCCTGTTTCATATGGGACTCGTAGCGACGTACATAATGCGTATAAAATACATTGTCTGTTTACATGAAATTCGAACACGCGCTGTGCGACGACCACCGCCCTGCATCTGAATCAGCGGAGCTTTACAAGCCGACAGGCTGTTTGTTTTTCACGTCTTCTTGATTCTTAATTTGAAAATTATTTATGAATGACTAATTATTATATTCACTGGAATACCTTGAACTGCTGTCATATACCTATTTTTTATGTTGGCGGCGCTGTTTCAAGTAACTGGAAATTGGAACATTGGTGGCAATGTTTTTTGGGCAGCTGTATGTATGAGGATCAGATAACGAATTATTGTAATGTCCCCTAACTAAATTAGGCCCACTTTACATTACACTTTTCGTGACAGCGGGAACCTGTGTAAAGGGAATTCCCACTGTCGTAGTTCCGCTGTCTTCAAATTTTCTCCCGACAACTCCAAAGTGGTCGCCCGAAAGCTCAGCGGGAGTCCTTGACAACTTGAAAGTACGTATAAAAAGAACGCGTCGGGCTCAGGACAGTAGGAGGTCAGGGTTTAGGTGATTATCATAAATCGCACGCTAATTGGTATATACAGTGAGACAAAAAACATGGCGGGGAGGAAAGAAGGCACTGGACGCTGTAGTGTCGGGACGACAGTGGGAATTTTCGCCGCTGTCGCGAAAAGCGTAATGTAAAGTGGGCCTTGTTGATGTAAAACATGGTGATATAACTATACTCCCGGAGAGATGTCGGTTCGTTTGCTGGTCCAATGACGTTACACGTAAATGGCCGCCAAGATCTCACTGAGAGCAATAGAGCCACGAGACATTTTTTTTGTTCTTCAAATTGTGCGCCATTCTTTGCCTTCATTGCGTCTACTGTTCCACTGATCTGTTCAACCTTGACATTCTACCTAATGGTAGGATGAAATGGAACACTATTTTACAGGCAAAAGAAGTCTCGTGACTCTCGAGACTTTGGCGGCCTTTTGTGTATACGTTCTGTTTTCAAAGTGAAAGCTGGTTCAATTCATATTTATTGTATGAAGTGTCAGATATTCCATTTTACATTTTAATAAATTGAGCAATAAATAAGAAAACCACAATGCAGTCATAACCGTCTTACATCATTTGAAATAACACGTAAGTTTGTGTTTCTGTGTCACGTGGGGTGTTTGTCTGATTACGTCATAAATATCTGCCATTTTATCGTCCTTGTTCGCAGTTGGTTACTACAAAACAAATAAAAATTCAAAGTACATATTTGATATATTTGCAGGTTAATGTCCAAATTATAGTACCCTTAACTTCTGGAAATGTGGGATCGATTTGTGGAAATGTTCGTAAACAAGAGGCGGTGATGGTGAGCGTTGTGCACGAACTTCAAACAAGCCTGCAGCGTCACTGACGTAATCGAATAGCATATCACGGGCATTTCATGAACCCCCTTTCATACCATTACAGATATCAGTGCATCTGTTTCGTATCTGACACCCAGAAACGCTTGTCCATCAACACGCCTAAAATAATGTATAGAAATGCATTTAAATTTGTCCCTAGGGTTACAAGCCATCTTTCGAACACAAAATACAATGGAATGACCACTTATGCCGGAGGGAAGAACTCCACATTCACTTATTCCCCGCAATAGTTGGTAAAAATAAAATCACTTAAAGTATTATAGTGCTTAGTAATACGAGTCCATTCACGCACCATTTATTGCATATGAAAAATTTCAGATTTGTTTTTTAGGGGGATTTTGGTGTAACCTTTTCAGTAAATTTAAAGAAATCTAGAGAAATCCAAATAGATTGGACACCAGGAGAGAATTGTTGGGGTACATGTAGACTGGCCCAGTCATGGCAATGTTATTGTTTTATATGATAATTCCCTTAGAACGAGTTTGTAGAATCTTCCAGGTTGTTTTAATAACAAAAACTATTAAATTGCCACGCCTGGCCCAGTCTAGGGTACTTCCTTAAACTGGTGTCTATCAGAAACATAACGTGATAACAGACTACATGTGCATAGCCATTGATAGGCATTTCTTGATTTCCAATAATGCCCTCCAGCCATGACAAAGACAACACATCATTCATCAATACTGCCCTCTAGCCATGACAAAGACAACACATCGTTCATCAATACTGCCCTCTAGCCATGACAAAGACAACACATCGTTTATCGATACTGCCCTCTAGCCATGACAAAGACAACACATCAATCATCGATACTGCCCTCTAGCCATGACAAAGACAACACATCAATCATCGATACTGCCCTCTAGCCATGACAAAGACAACACATCAATCATCGATACTGCCCTCTAGCCATGACAAAGACAACACATCAATCATCGATACTGCCCTCTAGCCATGACAAAGACAACACATCAATCATCGATACTGCCCTCTAGCCGTGACAAAGACAACACATCAATCATCGATACTGCCCTCTAGCCATGACAAAGACAACACATCAATCATCGATACTGCCCTCTAGCCGTGACAAAGACAACACATCAATCATCGATACTGCCCTTTAGCCATGACAAAGACAACACATCATTCATCAATACTGCCGTCTAGCCATGACAAAGACAACACGTCGATCATCGATACTGCCCTCTAGCCATGACAAAGACAACACGTCGATCATCGATACTGCCCTCTAGCCATGACAAAGACAACACATCATTCATCAATACTGCCCTCTAGCCAAGACAAAGACAACACATCAATCATCGATACTGCCCTCTAGCCATGACAAAGACAACACATCGATCACTGATAGTGCCCTCTAGCCATGACAAAGACAACACATCGATCATTGATACTGCCCTCTAGCCAAGACAAAGACAACACATCGATCATCGATACTGCCCTCTAGCTAAGACAAAGCCAACACATCGATCACCGATAGTGCCCTCTAGCCATGACAAAGACAACACATCAATCATCGATACTGTCCTCGAGCAATGACAAAGACAACACATCAATCATCGATACTGCCCTCTAGCCAAGACAAGGACAACACATCGATCATCGATATTGCCCTCTAGCCATGACAAAGACAACACATCAATCATCGATACTGCCCTCTAGCCATGACAAAGACAATACATCAATCATCGATACTGCCTTCTAGCCATGACAAAGACAATACATCAATCATCGATACTGCCCTCTAGCCAAGACAAGGACAACACATCGATCATCGATACTGCCCTCTAGCCATGACAAAGACAACACATCGTTCATCGATACTGCCCTCTAGCCATGACAAAGACAACACATCGTTCATCGATACTGCCTTCTAGCCATGACAAAGACATCACATCAATCACCGATACTGCCCTCTAGCCACGACAAAGACAACACATCGATCATGAATACTGCCCTCTAGCAATGACAAAGACAACACATCAATTACAGATACTGCCCTCTAGCCATGACAAAGACAACACATCGATCATCGATACTGCCCTCTAGCCATGACAAAGACAACAAATCGATCATCGATACTGCCCTCTAGCCATGACAAAGACAACACATCATTCATCAATACTGCCCTCTAGCCATGACAAAGACAACACATGGATCATCGATACTGCCCTCTAGCCATGACAAAGACAACACATCGATCACCGATAGTGCCCTCTAGCCATGACAAAGACAACACATCGATCATCGATACTGCTCTCTAGCCAAGACAAAGACAACACATCGATCATCGATACTGCCCTCTAGCTAAGACAAAGACAACACATCGATCACCGATAGTGCCCTCTAGCCATGACAAAGACAACACATCAATCATCGATACTGTCCTCGAGCAATGACAAAGACAACACATCAATCATCGATACTGCCCTCTAGCCAAGACAAGGACAACACATCGATCATCGATACTGCCCTCTAGCCATGACAAAGACAATACATCAATCATCGATACTGCCCTCTAGCCAAGACAAGGACAACACATCGATCATCGATACTGCCCTCTAGCCATGACAAAGACAACACATCGTTCATCGATACTGCCCTCTAGCCATGACAAAGACATCACATCAATCACCGATACTGCCCTCTAGC